TTCTCCGACACTCACTTGCTACAATCACAGCATTCACTGTTCCTCCCTGTTAAGAGGGAATTATAAAAGGCACTCATCCTTGAACAAGGACCTGACAGACTTTCTTTATGGTTGTCTTTTTCTCTGGAGCATATCTCTGCTGAAAACATAAGACAGGATCCAGCTGGTGGACTCTGACTACTGGCAAAGCCCCTGACCCGCAGTAGGGTCCCACATCCTGTCAGTCACCTGAAGTATTGATGACATTGGATGACCAATTTCCCCTTCGCGTGGCAAGTTCCCACCTCCCACCAGTAGGAATAAAGATACAAGACACCGTTAATTTAAGGTTAATGGGCTAAAATTGGCCACAACTTTATTGGTTACAGGTATTGGCTTAGGCATTGGTCCTATCCGACTATCCGGCTTCAGCATGCTTGCTTGAAGACCGGGAAGGGTTAACACCAGCAGGGGGAGCCCTGCTGATGCACATCAACTAGGCACTCCCCCAGGGTCACTGCTTGGGGGCGTGCCTTGGGCCCTGGCCTCCATAGGCTTTGGACGGGGCTACGCCCCCCAGAATCCTTTACCGGACTACCCTTCAATATCCGGGGGAGGTGATGGCGCTCCCCCCCCATACATCTACATAACAATACCCATACCAATGCCTAACCGCCACTCGAGCAAAGCTCGCCGCCAATACCCTCAGACTTGCAACCAATCCCTAATCCCCACAGATATGCCAGCCAACCAAACATCATTTCCCGCATTGGAAAGATGCACGCCATCCTCACGGTAGAGGGTCACCTTGCTGAACTGGATGTTGGGGTGGTCAATGACCCGCCCCCCCAGTGCTGCCACTCTACGAGCCACTGAGCATTCCAGGGTCTTTCTGGATTTGTTTATAGCAATAGGGCATCGGCAGTCCCTCCAAGTGCGCCTTTCCAACAGTGATGACCAAATTATGACTAAATTTGGGAAAGAAATCCTCAGATCATCAAAATCATCAAAAATGTTCCACATTAAGTCGACGCCCTTCTGGTAGGCCAGATCATTTTCACCCAGCTGAATGACAAGGGCATCCGGCCAAAGAGGGAGTTCCTCAGCCGCGCTTGCCTTAAATGAGGCAAGCCACACCCCCTGGGCCAGCCGATTGGCTGGCCTGGGGATGACGTGTCCGAGGATTCCCCAGATCGTGCAGGGCTGGGAGCCGCTCGCGGCCTTTTCCCGGAGGGAGGGAGGGAGCTGGGAGGGGGGAGTTCTGCCCACCAAACGCCTCGCCTTGGGCTGCTGCTGCTGCGACGGCAGAGGCAGAGGAGGGGTGCATGCTGTTGGGTGTAGTGAAGGGTTAACCTTCTGTGTCTCGAGGCTGAGAGGAGGCGCTTACAAGGGAAGTAAGCCAGGACGTGATGAAAGCAGCTTGGAATGCTGTGAGCTGAGTGCAAAGTGAAAGCAGTTTGTTGCGCAGCTGCAAACTGAGAGAGAAGGACGCAGAGACAATGCAGCTTGAATCTGATGGTGTTATTAATTGTAAATATGCTACTTTTGAGCAAATAAAGGGATATTAGGACAGAAGAAACGTGTGGGACTTGATTACTGCTCTTTCGACACACACCGCTGCGTAATTCTGCTAACTGCTTTACGACCGCTACAAAGCCACCCTGCGTAAACAGAAGCTACAGAGGCTCGCAGGGGAAGCGTGGCTGGGCGCCGAACAATAAAGCAATAAATCTACCGAACACGTGCTCTGCCCCTGGCGGCGCTTGGCCAAACTCTGTAATTTAAAGGCAAAAGTTGGGGGGTCGTCTTATACGCCCAGTCGCCTAATACGCCGGAATCTACGGTAGTTCAGCTAAGTGTCACATCCAGGATGCAAGTGAATTTTGAGACAGACAGGTTGAAAAGGAATGAGCTAGGAACTGAAGTCTGATCTACAGAGTGACACTGATGTGACTATAGCCTCCGAGTTCAGAGAGGCCCAGCTCCGGATCTTGCAAAGCTTTGACTAGTCCCATGAACACGAGGGGGGAAATCCAGTAAAGGAAAAGCAAGTGTCAACGTTAAAATAATGCAGGGTGAATACATGATAGCTGCAGTGGTTTGACACTTGTAACAGCTTATGTTTTTTTCATTCTGAGCTGTAATGGAGGGGTTGTTTGCAAGCCAGTGCTAAATAGATAATTTAAAATGTCGGTTTGGCAGTTGCTCCAAAACATGGAAAAAACAAAGTTAGCAGGGGGGCAATATTGAGTTCACTTGCAACAGCCTGAATAGTTGATAAAGCTGCTGTGCATGAATTATTGGGTGGGGGGTGATGTGGGTTGGGGAAAGGTGAAGAAGTAAACTGCTTTAAAAAGGCATTGTGCTGCAGGTCTTTTGCTTAGAGTCACTCACATAGGGATAAAAAGAAGGGAGCACTTTGCAAGCAGACTACATGGGATATGAAAAAGTTTTAACAACCTACATTTCCAACTGCTGCTTGACTTTTGTGAGTTTAAATTCTGCTACTAGAGGCTCTCTCCTGTTTCAGAGTGAATTTAGCTCCACATTTTGAATCCATGCACCCAGCTGATTCTTTTATAATTTACCCCACACATGTGAGTCACAGGGATTCATACATTTTCCTCCTACAAATTTGTCCTGTGACCTCCTCTGCTTGACCTCCGCCTCTCTCCCTCTGCATTCTTCTTTCCAAACCAATATCAAAAACCTGACTGGGTTTGTTTGGCTCTGTGTGATGTTTTCCTCTGAACAGCTTTTTAACTGCGCTGATTCCAGTAATTCATGCCAGACTTTCCCTTTAGCAATCAATTATAATTTACTTCCTCAACTACCCAATAGTGAAGTTGACCACAACAATATTCTCGTAACTAATTATAGTAGAATCTCCCAGCAGCAAATCCATAATCAGTACTTACCATATTTTTCGCTCTATAAGACGCACTTTTCCCCTCCTAAAAAGTAAGGGGAAATGTGTGCGCGTCTTATGGAGCGAATGCAGGCTCCATGGCTTAAGCGAAAGCAACGCGAAGCCAGCAGAGCAAGAGGGATTGGTGCACATTGACCCCTCTTGCTCTCCTGGCTTCAGGGATAGCCGCCGGAAGCCTCCGGAGCACAGCGTGCGGCTATCCCATAAGCCAGGACAGCCTGGCTTCTTGCTTGGCTGCACACAGCCTCTCCCGGGCAAGGGGAGGCTGCGCACGGCTATCCCATAAGCCAGGACAGCCAGCGGGATCACAGTGCTGCAATTCCGCTGGCTCTCCTGGCTTCTTGCTGGCCGTGCGCAGCCTCTCCCAGGCAGGAGAGGCTGCGCACAGCTATCCCATAAGCCAGGACAGCCAGGCGGGATCGCTGCGCTGCGATCCCGCTGGCTGTCCTGGCTTCTGGGATTCAGAATATATTTTTTCTTGTTTTCCTCTTCAAAAAACTACAGTAGGTGCGTCTTATGGTCTGGTGCGTCTTATAGAGCGAAAACTACGGTATAATGGTAGACATTTTTACTTGGAATAAGCATAACTGAGTTCAATGGTACACACTTCATTATAATGCTCAACCAAATATTATGTTTTCTACCACATATCACTGATAGCTCATGCTGTAAACAGAACATTTCCATACAACATAGCTGAACTTCAAGGCTGTTCTTATTGCAAATCTTATTCTCAGTGGGAAAGTGTAGACTCTTATTTTTGACTGAGAATAAGATTTGCAACTACAGCCTAAGAAAAGACCTTATTAGGGCCAGGCAGATTTTGTTGGACTCCAAGTCCCATCAGCCCTGGTCTGTGGTCAGGAATGATGGAAGTCCATCTACTCTCGTTTCAGCACTGGAGATATAAATGTTTTTGAGCTTTCACAAGCTGGAGCTGAAGGTGATAGTGAAATGAGGTTCAAATTAGGAAAGTAGCTAATTCAATTACTGTCAACTGTTCATGCAACGTAAGGAAGGGGAAGAGACTGACTAGGCCCAGATGAAGGGGAATCACCAGATAGTCCGCTGCACTAGGCATTTAGAAGTAGACTTCCTCTGAACATAGAGGTTCATTTAACTATCACAGCCAACAGCCAATGACAGACCTTCTCCTCCATACGTAAAGTCTAATTCCAATAAATAACTCCCATCACGTGTAATGCATTTTTTCTGTAAATAAAGCTTGCTAAAAGAAATGCAATACAAGATTAATTTCAGGTTGACCTCCATGGAAAATAGTGTCTAGCCATATTGCATGTTGTTGAGCATGAAAATTGAAGAAAAAACACAAACCAAAGGATAAGGCTGTATGGTTTCTTGATCTAAGAGATGTAGGAATGAACGTAAAGTCTTAGAAACAGTACATTTGGACCAGAGGAGTAACATGGCTCCCCCCTGTCCGCTCTCAAGCTCTGCCAGAGCTTTCTTTATAACACTCAGCAGGCAGTTGCACTTCAAAGACAAATGGCAGATTTCTCAATGTCTTCCTCCTTCTCATTTCACTTTCATTGTGCAGGCAAAGTGGCCACTTGCGCAGCTCAAAACGTGTATCCAAAAATAATGCACATGAAATAAATGAAACTTTGGGTCGAACTGCTTAAACAAATTCATAGATCTGCACACATCAAAGGGTCAATGATGAGGTAGGCCCACAAGACATAATAGTAAATTAGTTAGGTGTAGCAGGAACAAAACTTCACAGACATTTAGATGTACCATATTTTTTGCTCTATAGGACGCACTTTTTCCCCTCCAAAAATTAAGGGGAAATGTTTGTGCATCCTATGGAGCGAATGCAGGCTCCTTGGCTTCAGTGAAAGCAACGCGAAGCCTCCAAAGCGCAGAGGGAGAGCTCCCTCCGTGCTCCGGAGGCTACGCGTTGCTTTTGCTGAAGCCTGGAGAGTGCAGCGGGACCTCGTGCTGCGCTCCAAAGGCTTCAGGTTCCGTTCGCTGAAGCCGGGAGAGCAAGCTTCAAAGGCTGTCCCCAAAGCCAGAACAGTGAGAAGGAGCGCTGCGCAGCACTCCGTCTCGCTGTTCTAGCTTCGGGGTTAGCGGCGCAAAGCCTCCGCAGGGCAGTGGGGCGCCTTCATCCCACTGCCCTCCGGGGGCTTCGCGGGCTGTCCCAGAAGCCTCCGCAGGACACAGGGATGAAGGCTCCCCATGCCCTGCAGAGGCTTTGCGCAAAGCTAGACCAGCTATCCCAGCGGCTATCCCAGAAGCCAGAACAGCAAGGGGCTATCACAGAAGCCAGATCCCTCTTGCTGTTCCTGCTTCTGGGATTCAGATTTTTTTTCTTGTTTCCTCCCACCCAAACTAGGTGCATCCTATCGTCTGGTGCATCCTATAGAACGAAAAATACTGTATTTACTAGGGAGCATTGGTTCAAAGGGCAGGTTCCTTCTAGCAGGCTTCATGTACTTAACTGGTTTTAATCTGAGGAATGGATCAGCTATAAAATAATATTTCCACATAGCTATTGCCATGTTTATGGTGTGCCACTAAGGAAACAAAGTTTTTCAAGAGCAACCTTGAAGACCTTAGGTCAGGATGACAGATAGGATCCACCAGTTTCCAAGAAACCTTTTTGCTGACATATTTTGGTCTTTCTCCTCTCACTGTCCTCCGCAGGACTCCAAAAAATGCTGGTGTTTCAAGGAACAATACATTCTGAATTTATGCCAAAGGTTGATAAGTATTGAATTCATACAAGAAGCATGAATTGTTGCTCACAACCTCTCACTCCTTCTAGTATAAATAGAATATGTTTAGTTAATCAGACTCTGAGTTTGCTGTTTCAGTTGCAAATGATTTGTTCAAGCCAAATATAGGAGTTTCAGTGCTCACTTTAATGATCATGCACATATTATGGTTAAAAATTATCCCACACTAATAAAAAATAAACTGAAGCAACAGTAATAACTGAAAGGAAGCCATTTAACAACAAATAGCAGGTGGCTAATGGCTAATGGCAATATGTATGCATATTTACTGTTTCTATAAATTTACCTCATCAACCCCTATGTATCAAATAAATGCATCTCATATGTTTAAACCACTGTGTGCAAATTTAAAAATAGAATTACAAATCGTTAAATATCAAATTACCCAGGGCCTGAATTAGCTTTAAACTGTGGTACATCAGTTGTACATCCCAGTGTTTCTTCATTCTTTTACTAGCAGAGCAAATCATATTATCACTTTGCATGATGCAGCCAAAGTTAATTTCTTCTGATCTAGGACTCATTTCGGGCTGCCAGCAAAGGTCTTCGGGCTCCATTATCAGTTTCAGGGTTTGTCTTAAAATTTGTGGGTATCAAGGGTGTCCTGAATTGTTCTCCAGTTCAGATTACAACCCAAGCACTTTCCAAAGAGTTGTATCTGGCACCTATTGTACATTGCCCTTTTTTTTAGTTTTTTCAACACCAGGCTAAAACATTTTAATTTTCCCACGTGCTTTAATTTGTGGAATGCCTTTGTCTCCTGAATGATTGTAGCTGATGCCTCATATTATCTATTAATACTATGTCTTTATTGTATATTTTAGTGTTTATGATAGAAATAATTTATTTAGACTTGTTGCTCACCACCCTGGAATCTTTTAGATGAAGGGCAGAATGCAAATGTTTGGAATAAATAAACAACCGGGAGAAGAATTCCCAGCTTATCTCCCCAGCTGTGCCCTCTTTGAGAAGGGGTGTACCTAAGTGATACAGCATCTACCTTGCATGTGGAAGGTACTAGGATTAAACCCCAGCATTTCCAGGTATGCCTGGGAGACATCTTGGTCTGAAACCTTGGAGAACTGCTACCTGTCAGTGTAGTCCATGTTAGTTTCTGTTTGTGCCACTGTGCAGCTGCTTGGAGTCACAGGACTCTGTTTACATTCCACACATTCCATACTGTTGGAAGTCTCACGGGAGACGGGAGACGGATGGGACATTAGTGGTTTCCTGTTCCTTTGTTGTTCAGTTGCTCTCTGCTTTCATAGAGAGAGGATGTATATTTCTTTACTGTCTACGTAGTAAGAAATAAAGCATAGTGATGTAGCCATAAATCTCATCACTTCCCTGTGCTGCTTTGATTCTCTGCTGAACGGGAATGTGCCTGAGGCCTCATCAAAGGCTCAGGTCGTTAATTATCGCCGGAGGACTCGGCCGGAGGAAAATGTGCTTTATCAGATCTTTCTTCATCGTTGACTCGGGAGCGACCCAGCACATAGAATCATAGAATCATAGAGCTGGAAGAGACCACAAGGGCCATCGAGTCCAACCCCCTGCCAAGCAGGAAACACCATCAGAGCACTCCTGACATATGGTTGTCAAGCCTCTGCTTAAAGACCTCCAAAGAAGGAGACTCCACCACACTCCTTGGCAGCAAATTCCACTGTCGAACAGCTCTTAATGTCAGGAAGTTCTTCCTAATGTTTAGGTGGAATCTTCTTTCTTGTAGTTTGGATCCATTGCTCCGTGTCCGCTTCTCTGGAGCAGCAGAAAACAACCTTTCTCCCTCCTCTATGTGACATCCTTTTATATATTTGAACATGGCTATCATATCACCCCTTAACCTCCTCTTCTCCAGGCTAAACATGCCCAGCTCTCTTAGCCGTTCCTCATAAGAGCATCGTTTCCAGGCCTTTGACCATTTTGGTTGCCCTCCTCTGGACACGTTCCAGTTTGTCAGTGTCCTTCTTGAACTGTGGTGCCCAGAACTGGACACACTACTCCAGGTGAGGTCTGACCAGAGCAGAATACAGTGGCACTATTACTTCCCTTGATCTAGATGCTATACTCCTATTGATGCAGCCCAGAATTGCATTGGCTTTTTAGCTGCCGCGTCACACTGTTGGCTCATGTCAAGTTTGTGGTCAGCCAAGACTCCTAGATCCTTTTCACATGTACTGCTCTCCAGCCAGGTGTCACCCATCTTGTATTTGTGCCTCTCATTTTTTGCCCAAGTGCAATACTTTACATTTCTCCCTGTTAAAATTCATCTTGTTTGTTTTGGCCCAGTTCTCTAATCTGTCAAGGTCGTTTTGAAGTGTGATCCTGTCCTCTGGGGTGTTAGCCACCCCTCCCAGTTTGGTGTCATCTGCAAATTTGATCAGGATGCCCTTGAGTCCATCATCCAAGTCGTTGATAAAGATGTTGAATAAGACCGGGCCCAAGACAGAACCCTGTGGCACCCCACTAGTCACTCTTCTCCAGGATGAAGAGGAACCATTGATGAGCACCCTTTGGGTTCGGTCCAGTCAGCCAGTTACAAATCCACTGAGTGGTAGCATAGTCAAGACCGCATTTTACCAGCTTCTTTACAAGAATATCATGGGGCACCTTGTCAAATGCCTTGCTGAAATCAAGGTAGGCTACATCCACTGCGTTCCCTTCATCTGTCAGGCTTGTAATTCTGTCAAAAAACGAGATCAGGTTAGTCTGACATGACTTATTTTTCAGAAATCCATGCTGACTATTGGTGATCACAGCATTCCTTTCTAGGTGCTCACAGACTGTTTGCTTAATGATCTGCTCCAGAATCTTCCCTGGTATTGATGTCAGACTGACTGGGCGGTAATTATTTGGGTCCCCTCTTTTCCCCTTTTTGAAAATAGGGACAACATTTGCCCTCCTCCAGTCTGCCGGGACTTCGCCTGTTCTCCAGGAATTCTCAAAGATGACTGCCAGTGGTTCTGAGATCACATCTGCCAGTTCTTTTAATACTCTTGGATGCAGTTCATCTGGCCCTGGAGACTTGAATACATCTAAACTAGCCAAGTATTCTTGTACTATCTCCTTAGTTATTCTGGGCTGTGTTTCCTCTGCTGAATCATTTGCTCCAAATTCTTCAGGTCGGGCATTGTTTTCTTTATCGGAGAAGACTGAGGCAAAGAAGGCATTGAGGAGTTCAGCCCTTTCTGTGTCCCCTGTTTGCATGTCACCATCTTCTCCTCTGAGTGACCCCACTGTTTCTTTGTTCTTCCTTTTGCTACGAACATACCCATAAAAGCCTATATTGTTGCTTTTAACCTCTCTAGCAAGCCTGAGTTCATTCTGTGATGTAGCTTTTCTGACTTTGTGTCTACACGTGCTGGCTATTTGTTTGAATTCCTCTTTGGTGGTTTCCCCCTTTTCCATTTTTGTACACATCCTTTTTAATCTTAACTCAGTTAAAAGTTCTTTAGATAGCCACCCTGGCTTCTTTAGGCACCTTCCATGTTTCCGTCTCATTGGTATTGCCTGATGTTGTGCTTTTAGTATCTCCCTCTTAACAAACACCCAGCCATCATGAACTCCCTTTCCTTTTAGTATTACTGTCCATGGGATCTCACCCAGCACTTCCCTAAGTTTTATGAAGTCGGCTTTCTTAAAGTCAAGAAATTGACTCCTAGTATGCTTGGCTGCTCCTTTCCGCTGTATAGTAAACTTCAGAAGAGCATGATCACTCGCGCCTAATGATCCTTCCACTTCTACCCCACTAACCAGGTCATCAACATTGGTTAGGACCAGATCTAAAATGGCTGTTCCTCTTGTTGCTTCTCCCACTTTCTGGACAATGAAGTTGTCTGCAAGGCCAGTGAGGAATCTGTTTGACCTTATGCTCTTGGCTGAGTTTGACATCCAACAAATATCCGGGTAATTGAAGTCCCCATTACTACTATCTCCCTTCCTTTTTGCATGCTTGGCCATCTGTTCCAGGAAGGCATCATCTATGTCCTCTGTTTGGCTTGGGGATCTATAGTAAGCTCCCACAATGAGGTCACTGTTATTCTTCTCTCCCTTAATTTTGACCCAAATGCTCTCACTTTGGCTTTGAGGTTCTAAATCTTGGATCTCTTCACAGGTATACACATCCCTGACATATAACGCCACTCCTCCTCCTTTCTTGTCTGGTCTGTTTCTCTGAAATAGATTGTATCCCCCCATTATTACATTCCAGTCGTGGGACTTATCCCACCAGGTTTCAGTGATGGCTATTATGTCATATTTAGTTTGCTGTACCAAGAGCTCAAGCTCATCTTGTTTATTTCCCATGCTTTGCACATTAGTGTACAGACATTGAAGTCCATTAATCATTCCCCGTGTCTCTTATTTAAGGATTTTTCCTCCCACCACTTGGTATGCGTGCTGTTTTCTCCATTTGGTCTATGACATTTGGATGTTAATATTCATCTGTTGATAGAATCCTACCTTCAG